TGTGTGTGTGTGTGTGTGTGTGTGTGTGTGTGTGTGTGTATCCTACTGGTTCTGTCTCTCGAGAACCTTAATACAGCTTGATTCTAGAATATACTAAAAACTCCAACAAATCAACAACAAAAAGACACATAACTCAATAAAAAATAGGCAAAAGACTTCAACACTTTACTAGAAATAACATATATTTAATATAGGAAAATACTATATACACACAAACACATGAAACGGTCCTCAGCTCATCAAGTCATCAGGGAAATGAAAATTAAAACCAAGTGCTGACAAGGATGTGGAGCACTTGGAACTCTCACACATTGCCAACCGGAGTAAAATGGTGCAACTGCCTTGGCCAACTATTCGGCAAGTTCATAGGCAGTTAAACCTACACCCACCCTTTGGCTTAGCAATTCTACTCCCAGGTATTTATAAGAACATATTGCCACAAAAAAGGACTCGAACTAGTATGTTCATAGCAGCTGTATTCATAATGGCCAAAGCCTAGACTGCCCAACTGTCTAACAGGAAGATGAAAAATAAATTATGAAATATATAATAGATTATTCCTTAGCAATAATAAGATACTAAAATGCACAATGACACGGCGAATCTCAATAAACTGTGCTGAGTAAAAGAAGTCAGGACCAAGGGGATATGGGCTCACTGGCTCATCACTCGGTTACCATGGAAACTAATCTACGCCGATACCAATCAGAACACTGTATGACTCAGGCTGGGAACTGACTGGAAGACAGAATGAGGCAACTTTCTAGGGTGATGCGTGCACACGTTTGTCAGAACTCACCCATCAAGACATGCATATACGATGTGTGTATTTCTCTGTACTGAAATTGTGTCTCAATACAAAAACATTTTTTGAAACACAAATGCATCCAAAGCTTTCTGGAAAAATGTCAGATGGATTTGCTGAGAATTCCAGATATTGTGTCTGTAGGTACAGACCACCTGCGCAGATCAATAAAGGACAGAATATAATACCTGTTAACTCTCCTTGGGCATTTCTCTGGCTTGATATCCAATTCATAATGATAGATGTCAATTTTGGGGATGTCCATTTCGAAGAAATTGGCCTGTAATTTGATTGTTCTCCCGGAGGTCCCAAAGTCGGGTCTAGGTGGAGGCTTGAAGGCATATCCTTGGATGGGGGGTGGCGGCGGCGCAGGAGGCGCAAGCACTGGAAAACAGCAGAGAGGACACCTGTTATGGGGACAGCGGACTTCCTCGGCCCTCCCCACACCCCTCGGACCCTGAGCCACCACACACCCACTCTCGTACTTCCCTTCGTGCCTAGCCCAACACCACATTTCCACAGAGGTGGCATCTCCACAGAAAGCCAATTTACTAAAATATACTATAATAGCTCATTAGTCATCACACTCGCCATGTGTGCATTCTTTGCACATGAGGATCTAAAAAGATGGGGCAGTGTGAATTACCAGCAAGGGAGACGTGGCCAAAGGGACAAGATTCATCTGTACTTAATGGGGCCAAAACTGTCAACGGGGTATCCTTCCTTTGTTGCTGTTTAAACCATTAGTTTACACAGAAAATGCAGAAATAAACTTCATCTCAACTCAAGTGTTCAGCAATTCCATACGAGAAAAATTCAAACCACATCAGCTCAGCAAGCCCATCCACTCCCTTGGGGACCAAAGGCTTCTCCCTATGAGGCACTGAGGTGGAACAGCGACCATACGCGGTCCCTGTTCTCCAGTGGTGTCCATCTACCCAGCAAGAGGGAACTCTGAGGGTAGAAACAAAGTGAAACCACAGTTACATTTGTGTCCTAGGAAACATCCAGTCACAAAGCCACAGAAATCTGGACCCATGGTCAATTTCAATTTCCAAGCCAGGAACACCCTCTAAGTAGAAGAGAATAACTGTCCTTTGTGCAGTGGTTGCCAGGTCACAGAGTGCGCACATGTGTCACTCAAATGAGCCTCACAACCACAGGACAAAGGGGTCACTGTGGAATGTGAGAACATAGGAGGCCCAGACAGGCAGGTAGAGCAACCGCTGGTGAAGCAGAGCTGAGATATGGCTCCAAACCAGGCTCCTCCACCTGTCGCCACCCGAGGGCCCCTGGCTTGCACAGCAGCTGATGGCTTTATGTTACTTAAATCTGACCAAGCACAGATTCGGCCCATTTCTCCAGCTAGCCCTATTTCTCCTAAGTAGCCTCCTCCAAAACCCTACTCCTTCTACAGCATTTGTAATGGGAGACAAGAAACTTGTGAACCTGTTTGTATTACTAACCTGTATTAAAAGCAACGGGGAAAAATGCAAAGGCAATTCACAAAACATAACTTCACAAGCTATCTTCTTTTTGCTTTTAGCTTTTAATAATGAAAATACTGACACTTCACAGGAAATCACGTGGCATACATAATCACAAGTTAAAGCCTTAGAAGTTCTCCAGGCTGAGCAAACAGGGGGCGGGCCCACCTTCCCCCAACTTGGGGAAGGAAACTCTACCACTGAAGACGGGGAAACCTCTGCGGGCCTGAGTCCTCGATAGTATCTTAGGTCTATTCTGATCATTCACAGGGGTCCCAAGTGCAAGCTGCCAACACACACTGGAGGATCAGAAGCAAAATACTAGCGGAGGGTCCAGCAGGAGTGTGGACGGAAACCCCATTCGCAGGAGGATGAGAGCGGAGAGTGCCGGTGTGAGGGCAGGCCACTGTCCCTGACCCCAAAGGGAGCTAACGTACCAAGATGTAAACCAAACGTACAAGAGGCCAGAAGAAGGTGTGAATGGGCATGCACACATTCATCACATTTGACACAGATGGTTTTAAAAATTAAGTCTAATACCACCTAAAGATGAGTTCTCCAAGCACTCGCTACTGAATGAAGGAAAGCCCGAGTAACAGCCAACAGGAGGTGGCACCTGGGAGGACATCGCCAGGGAGACGCCATTGAGCTGGGTGTCCACAGAACAGCAACCCAGTCCCAAATCCCTGCCAGTGTCTTAAGACACCACCTCCATCTCCCTGCTACTGCCAGGCCACCCAGCCCATTCTGGTTCAAGTGATGTGCCCCAGCGTCTCTGTCCTCCAAGGAGAAATTCAGGTTCTCTGTCCTGTGAACACTACCTCCAACACCCAGCTCATCTTCCCGCCCCCTGGCCACAGGTAGCACGCACAGCCTCGCTTCTCATCTGGCGACTAATCAAACATTTTGTTTTAAATGCACTTCTGGTTGTTTCTTTAAGTGTTAATCTTGTTTCTGGATCAGGAGTCAAAACCCTTGGCAGTGGGAAGGCAAATCCTTCTTTTTCATCCAGGAATTCCTGGAATGTAATACAGGCATACCTTGGAGATTGTGGGTTCGGTTCCAGACCACCACAATAAAGTCAATGTTGCAATATAGCAAGTCGAGTGAACTTTTGGTTTCCCAGTGCATATAAAAGTGATATCTACACAATACGTAGTCTAGTAAGTGTGTAATGGTATTATGTCTTTAAAAAATGTCCATACTTTAAATACTTTATTGCTAAATATGCAGACACAAAGTGAGCACATGCTGTTGAAGCACAGACCAAGAGACTTGCTTGAGGCAGCGTTGTCACAAACCTTCAATTTGTAAAAAATGCAGTTATCTCCAAGCATAATAAAATAAGGTGTGCCTGCAGTTCAGAGGGACCCCAGCTGTTCCTAGGGGGGGGGCAATGACTCCTCGGGGCACACAGCTGGCAGCACCCCTCAGCACTTTAACAATTTATCCGTTAGGCCAGGATTCCTACCTTGAGTGAGTTCTGAGGGCAGAGCCCAAGGCCCAGAACCCAGCACAGCAGCAGGTACAAGACAGGTGACAAGTGTTTACTGATTTGCTGATTACTCCACACCTTTAAGATTCCATTTTTAGAGCCACATCTCAAACAGCAAAAGGGAAATGTGTAGCGAATGAGTGACTGACTTCCTGTATGAGCAACTGGGTCATGGGGACCAAAAAGTTCCGGTGTGTGTAGCAAATGCCGAGAGGGGCGAGCTTGTTAGTGAGCCTTCTGCAGGACGAGATGCTCCTCCTACAGAAATCCCCTGGCAGGTCTGCACTGCCCCTGGCAGACCAGGCTGGGTGAACCCTGCCCTCAAGGGCCACCTGCTGGCAAGTCCCTGGCCATGGGGGGCTCTCATCCCCAGCCCTCCCTCTAATTAAGGGACAGGGACCAGGGGAAAGCCGGCACATAGACGAGGAAGGTGAGGACAGCCAAGGTTCTCGAGGGGCTGCAGAAATTCTGTGCCCCAGGAGACAGTCCTGCATGATGAAAAATCACCAACAGTGGCCCTGCTAAGAACATTCTCTAGGAACTTTTGCTTATACCCAACAAACCTTCAAGATGGGAGGGTTAACAGCCTCTCGATGGTGGGAGTAGGGCACGAGAGCCTGGGGAGCTGCCAGGTCTCAGGGGAAGAGCCCAGGGAGCAACTTGTGTGATCTCTGTGCGTGGCCTGGGCCACCCATGGATGCCCCAGGTTCCCCAGCAGACAGGCCTGGTCACAGAGTCATGTTGTTGGCCCTAGAATGGCCACAACCTCTGGCCTCACAGCTGACCAGTGAAAAGGCTGGGAAAACAGTCCCCAACCCCCGGGCACCACACAGGCACCAGGGGAGTGGCCAAGTGGACACGTGTGCCTACCGCATCACCGTGGGTGTGCGGCAGGAGGGCTTCGGCAAGGCAGGCTGGACCCTCCTTGGAGATCTTATTGGCTTTAGGCACAATCCAGTTTTCATACCACTCAAAAACAAATGCCCAAACCCTAAAGGAAAATGAGTGGTTCGGGACACGCCAACACGATGTAAAACCATGTCATCCCCTTTCTTTTCTCCCTCTGGTCGTAGATATCCTGAAATCATTTACTAGACAGTCCAGCACTGGAACAAGAGCAGAGCAAACACTTCCCCAAAAGGAGAGATGCGGTGGCACTGGGAACAGGCCCAGCGCACAGGCAGGAAGCTGCCTGGAGGGGCAGCAGGTGGGGGAACAGCCATGCCAGTCCCTGCTCCAGCCACTCCCGAGGCAGGAAGGCAACCTGGTGCCTGGCTATGAGCTCCTCCGAGGGAGGGAAACTTGGCCACCTTCCAGAAGATCTCCTCTGTACACTGTGTGGTCGTGGACATGCCCACGTGACCAGAGGGTGAGGGGGGACCATCCTGGGCATGTGGCTCTGCACCTGGCTCTTTCCACTCAACCACAGATCCTGGAGCACCTTCTAAACCAGCCCCTGTGGGTGACAAACCCCTGAATGAAGGGGGCTTGCTTCTCCACCTGTTGGGAGACATGACTAGGTGACTGCGTTCACATACTGTAGTTTTCTCCTTGATTACCAAAGCTTACTACAGAAGATAGACAAAAATACAGAGAAAATAAAAAATCACCCATAATGCCAGTACTCAGAGATAATCTCTGTAAAATGCCAGTCTTTTTCTAGACACACATATATAATTCTGTGCACATGCGCTAACTTGGGATTAGGCAGTTTTGTACCCTGCTTCTTGCATTTAACATCGCGATATGCGCATAAAATATGCTCCAAAACATCTCTAGTGATTGCATCACTCACTGAGTCATCACCTACTGATGCCACTTCGGTGGTTTCCAGATTTTCACTTTCAACAGTATAAATGCTTTGCTGAAGCGCTTTTGCAGAGCACCTTCACTTACATCCCAGGAGAGGAACCAGGACCCACATGAAGCTGCGCAGTGCCTGGCAGACACCTCCCCACCGCCCACTCACTGCACTTCCTTCCACCAGCCGGTGCAAACACACCCTCCAGACAGCCCTGCCCTTCCCTGGTCAGGCCCTGTCTCTCATCTCCACTCACTGCTGGGTCTGACCCTCGTCCGTGGGCACTAGAACCACCACCATAGTCCCCGGCCCCTGCACGCATGCTGGCACTTCCTGCCACCTACAATGCCACAAGACACTGTGTGCGTGAGGCTGAGCCCAGTGTGAGATGCTGCTGCCCACTTCTCAGCCTCCCTCCAACCTAGCCTCACACCCCAGCTCCACCACCTCCGATGGCACCAGTTCACCCCATGCTTTTGTGATTCCCCTCCTTTTCTGATGTCCTGGGCTTCTTTGAGGAACAAGTAAACTCCCTGGCCCCATCCCTCTGAACAAATGCTACACACAAAAAGCTTGGCAGGTGAATCACTGGAGT